GAAGAGGAGGAGGAGGAGGAGGGAGAATGCATGCCAGGAGAGCTGAAACTGGCAGATTTCATATCTGAGACCCTTGCCTTGCTAACACACAAGGGCGAGGAGTGAACTGCAATAGACACGGAGCAGGGCTTTTTTCAAGAAACTTTGAGAGAAGCACTGGGGACCCCAGAACTGCTAACCAAGGTCTATGGTTTTTAAAGCGTTGCACGAACCAGAGAAGCTCTTTAAAAATTCACCGGGCAACTGAGCTGTGTGATCATCAAAGAGCTCTTAAAAGAACGGGATGAATGCACATCCCAAAGCAGAACAAGTCAACTCTAATGGGCGCTCTCCTTATTAATTACTCATAAAGCCTGGCATTTGGGATGAGGAAGTTACAATGCTGGTGGTTGGCATCTTCTCTGTATTTTTGAAAAAGAAAAGTGGGGCATAAACTTCAGCCAGTCTCAGAAGTTACACCCTTGGTATATAGACTGAGGTGGGCGCACTGTGCTTTGTCTATGTTTTGGGGTGGGTAGTCCCATAATCTTTCACTGTGGACTCAACTGGCTTGCACTGCTTGAAGCAGTAAGCCAAAAACTGCCCAGCCCTGGTTGAGATAATTCCTTCTTCTCTTGGTGCAGCTGTTTATTAATGACCCATAACTACATACTGGCTGAAATCCAGCTGTGCTGCTCTGATTATGTCATATGCAGCAGCACGTCAACACTGATTCAAGGCAAACAGCTGCTCGTTAAAGATGATTTCAGGGTGCTCCTAACTCAAACAGAATGGAACAAGGTTGCATGCACCATGAAATCACCAAAAGAAGCCTCTAAATTGAGAGCCATTTGCTGCTGCTACTGACATCATTCCCATTGTGCAGGCAGAGCTGAGCAACAGGATTTCAGCTACTGAATGAGATATATTCTTTGCACATTTTGCCAGTCCTGCTCATCCTTCCCCACATCATTAAAACACAGATTGTTGTATGAACCTCTCTCCCTCTCTCATGTGCATGCGTGCACGCACACACACAAAAACTGTGGGTGTTGAGCCCATCAGCTAGACACAGAGACCAAAGATCACAAAAAAGACAGAGAACTAAAAAGGAAGAGGTTAAGGAAAAGGGTTTCATCCTGCACAGAGAAAAGACATGACTATTATACGTGGGCAGATCTCGCGCTTTGGGCTGAGTCAACATATCCACCTGAAAGGCCAGGGAAGGCCATGGGTGCGCTATTGCTAAACAACTGCCAGAAGGAAACCTTTGCAAATATACTGACCTTTTAAAACCGATGGCATGTGTCCCAATGTATGTAAAGAGACACTTACAGGCATCTATGAATTCATGAACTGCAGGATAGCTCAGTGGCTCAGGCATCTGGCAATGGAGCCAGAGGCTGGGATTCTGACTCCCCGCTGGTCCTCCCTGACAGGGTCTGGACTCGATGATCCACAGGGTCTCTTCCAGCTGTGCCGTTCTAAGATTATTAGATTATAAATGCCATAGTCTTGGATTCTAACCAAAGTTGGAAAAGTTACTTGGACTGTGATGCGCCTCCTAGCCATTCACATATATAATTTGTGTGCACTGTGTTTCTTGCAAATGCTTTAGAAGCCTTAAGAGTTTGCCAACTTTTCTTGTGAGGTGTGTTCCTTCACAAAATGAATCTCTGGACATGTAGAAATGCTTTTTTTTTGTCACAAGATGACTGAATCCAACAAACTAGTTTCCCATTCCTACCACCCAGTCTGGAAAAATAATGCTATACAGCAGGCACTATGGCTGGATCAGAGCCCTTCGAACAGGAAGAGGTTCTGGCAAACTTAAGCATCTTTCTCCCACAGGTTTCTGCACATTGAGCTTGCTAGGGAAAGGGAATATCTAAGTTGTTCGAGTCTTGAGAATAAGGATATGATAATTACTGGCAAACTTTTCATCCTTGATGAGAAAAGGTGTTGAAACACACAGAGGTATCGGATCACAAAGTAAACCACTACAAGATCTTTCTCTCCCGAATGGGGCTAAAAAAGATCAGTGTTTTTCCCTATCATCCGCAAAAGCCTAAATATGCCACCTTCTGCAAAAACGAATTAAAAAGACAATATTGTGTTTCCTATAAACTGTATGGGGGGACACATATTGTTCTATCCTTACTTGAGAGCTTCATTCCTCTACCTGTTTCTTTGTGTTACGTGCCCTCCAGTCAACTATGGCTTATGGTGGGCTCTGGTAGGGTTTTCAAAGTAGATGAGCTATTTAAGGACTGGTTTTAACATTGCCACCCTCACTGAGTTCCCATGGCCGGACGGAGATTCAAACTCTTCTGCATCGACATCCACCACTCACTGTAGGCACAGGCTCTCTGCTTGCACCTGACTTTCTCCCGCAGCGTCCCATATTTGCCACTATCCAAAACAAGGATATTGAGCTAGAAGAGGCTGTCTGATGGGAATCTGTTACGACCGAACTCACCCCAGAAAACCTGGCCAGCGGGCTTCCTTCGGCCCGCATTTTCTTTGCTTTTTCAGATTTCAGGCCCAGCTCACTGTAAGCGGATCCTGTCGAGTTCCACAGCTCCGGGGTTCTCCACTTGCCATTCCTCAAGCAAAGAAACTAAGATGCTGCCCTCTGAGAAACAAAATCCCACGTTTTCCCAGAAACACGTTTCTTTCAACCTCTTCTGCTCTAACATTCATTGTTCACTGCCGTTTTTAAAAGATCAAGAAACAGCCATTTTTAAAGATTAAAAAACCGCAGCAGTATTGCCAGAAGCAGCAAAAAAAAAATTAATTCCAACAGTAGGCAAAATAATACTATAGAGTAGATATTCTACTGCTATTATAACCATGGAACATAACTATAATGAATCTTTAAAATTCAAGAACATCATAAGAAATAAATCGATGGAAGCCCTAGACCTCACCCAGACATGGGCCCGAACCTCCCCATGGTGTAGTCCAGGGGTCCTCAACTCTCGGTCCACAGCCTGGTGCCAGTCCGTGGGCTTCCTTGAACTGGGACCGCAGACATGGATCTCCGCCCCCCCCACACGCATGCACTCTGGAGGGGCGTGTCACACTCACGGGTGAGCGTGTCACACTTGCAGGCATGCACACGAGCGCGACACACCCCTCTGCAAGTGCGACACACCCCTCCACAAGCGCCAGCCTCCCAACACATGGTCAGTTTCCTGTCTCCGTTTGAGGGTGTGTTGCTCAAGAGGAGGGAGAGTATGGAGGGCTGCACTCGTCATTACAACAAAGGCCAGCTTGCCTGTCACCTGAAGGCAATTTGCCTAGCCAGGCACCATATCCAGCTTGCTCACACACACACACACACACACACATCTTGCCTAGCCAGGCACCATATCCACCTTGCTCTCTCTCTCACACACACACAAGAGGCATCTGGTTGGGGGCACCACGTGGTGTCTTGCAGCCCTACTACGCCTTGGGTGGTCTATTCATCTCTTTCCCACTGGGCAGCAGCCTCCTAAAATTTGCCTAAGTCTCTTTTTCATAGGGAAGTTTGCGTGGTGGCAGGAGGAAATGTTCCAGAATTCAGTTTTTCATTTCTTAAAAGAAGGCACCCCTTCTAAGCAGACACACAGACACACAAGAGACCCATGTTCAAAGAGAGAACAGCACTTCCACCAAAATAGAACTACGTACTCTGTGCCTTATGCAATGCTCATGAATGATACAAAACGTCTGAGAAACTAGAGCAAAACATTAAGACCAGCGTGGCTCAATCTTTTACGAAGTCAACAATGTTGTCCACGCATGCTGATGTTTTACAGTATTCTGTCCAATGGCACCGTGCAGTCTATCAAGCCGCGAGGTTTCCAAAGAGAATAGAAAGAAGCTCCAGAAAAGAGTGGAGTCGGAGGCATTCGATGAGGAAGAGATACAGCCAGGTGGAGAAGAAATCTCCACAACTGCTAGAGCACCCCCAACAACAAAATATCTGCTACGTACCATGCTACTAAACTTGCTTTAGGGAAAACAGTCCCCCCCCCCCCCCGCCACTTTTCATGCTGGGTAAAAATTGTTGTTCTTAAAATAAATAATTAAATTAAATTAATATTTATGGAGTTTTCTTTTACAATTAGATACTCAAAGAACCAGCACACACATCCATCCTTGCAATGTTCTACAATTTATATTTAAAAAAATCAAGTCATCTAAAAATTGTACTGTATTTGTACTGAAAATGAGCACGTGTTGTGATCCAATAACCCAGTATTGTTTAGATACCCTGAATGTGAAGATTGACTTCAACAATTGTTTTATTTATCTCTCCCTCTCTTTCTCTCTTGGTGAGCCATCTAGGAACACTGGACGCGAATGACGATGGATGGACATCTTGAAGGTTACACCACCATTTTTTTTTTTTAAGGCAGAATATTTCCTTGCTAGGAGGAGAACTCACTCCTTTATTTTCAAAATGCCACTTTGGGCTGAGAAGTGAATCGCCCCCTTCCACTCCCACCCCGCTTTTAACTCCATGTGGTTGCAGTTGAGGGAATGCAAGTTAAGAATCGTGTCCATGTCTCCACGTCAAGACTAGGGGCATTCATAATCACCAGGAAGGTATGGGATAGCCAATTGTAATGGCATCCACCTCGTATTTCTGTGGCGTGTGTGTGTGTGAATGCACCAGGTAGAGGGAAACCACAAGACATTATTTCACTACAAGATGGACAGCTTTCAACATTAGTGAGTAGGTGTACAAAGTACGTAAGCAAGAATAAGCACACAAATATCAGCTTAACAGAGCTTGGTTTACGAGGTCAGTTCTTCCAAACCTGGCCATTAGCACTGTGAAACAGGCAAGCGGAACCAAACGGTCTCTACAAAAACAGCCAAGACACAGTCATGCCAGGTAGAGTTGGGCGTCGGGCGCAGGTATTAACAGTTAGGTGCTCATGCCAACGCGCCGACAAGGAGCAGGTTCTCACACACAAGCTGCAGAATGCATTGCCCGCTGGCAGGCCACGGTTGCAAACACACACCTTTCCCTTGCCTTTGCCGGACTGAACCGTCAGGTCTGGGGGGCCTTCTCCCGCCTTCTTCTTGGGCAGCCGCTCTCAGCGAAGGAGGAGGAGGAGGAGGAAGCCCTCTGGATTTGGTGGGTCTCATGTAGCCTTTGATCCGCTGGGGAGCCTTGGCTCTTCCCTCCTTCTTGGCCTCTTTCGCCACTTGGTCCCCGGGCCCGGACACAGCCTCCTGAACCATCTCCGCTCTTTCGCCAGCTTCGGACCCGAGGCTCGGACTTCCCTTCACTTCTGCGGCCGCCTCCCTTAGACGACCCGCCTCCTCCTCGCTGGTCCCCAGAACGGGTGGGCTAATCTTTGGCTCGTCCACACCACCAGGCTCCAGACACTCGGAAGGGCTTTCGGGTTGCTCAGCAGAAGCCGCTTCCTCCAAGGGGACATCCTCCAGGGCCTTATCTGCCCCTGCCTTACTTCCTAAACTATCTAGACATTCAGAGGCCCTCTGTTCCATGCCTTGACTGTCTTCCGATCGCAGCCCGGCACCTCCACCCACCAGGGCTGTCGTCAGCGCCTGGAGGGCCGCAGCTTCCTCCTTGGTCTCCCAAAGGGCTGCCAATTCCTCGGGAGGAGTACGGGTTTCTTTTCCAAAAGGGCCACTTTCTTCCGTTGAACCAGACAGCCCAGGAGGTATCTTTGGCTCTTCTCCACCTGGCACTTGGGATGAACAAAGGACAGGATCCTGCCCTTTATCCAGGAGATCTGTTCCTCTGTCTTCTGCCAGAACAGGGCAAAGCCCCTGATTCTTTCCCGTTCCAGCATCTGGCTTGACAAGGCGATCTGACGGAGGCCGTTTATTCTTCTTCCTTTTTTCTCTAGTTTCATCGCCTGCTTTCATTAAAAGGGAAGCCTCTGCCCTGGCCTCTCCACCTTCTAGCTTCGCCAAATTCTCTTGCAGCTCAAGCTGAGCCTTCCAGTCCCCTCTACTATCATCCTTTGGGATTTCAGAGAGAAAAGTCTGCTCATGGCTGAACTCACCAACAAACTGACCTTGAAGGTCTAGGAAGGGGCACCTGGAACCTTGACTTCTGGAAGAGGTCCCATCAAAGGCACTGGGGTCAGGTGCAACAGAGGGTCCAAATAAGCTCATTACATTTTCTTCCCAGTGCACCTGATGCCCCGGGGGAAGGGTCTTCAGGTTTCTGTTCTCATCTACAAACTCAAATTCTCCCATGCCATATTCCGTTCCAGCCATCTTGGGCCTTTCGCTTGAATCTGACGGTGTCGGCAAAGCCACGGGTGGCTGCTCAGGGCCACTTGCAGCCTTTCTGCCTTTCCTATCACTACCCTTTTTGGCAGGTTTCGCAAGAGGATCCTGCTGATTTGACAACTCTGGACCACCTTCATTGCTCCTTCTAAAACCAGAGGGTTCTTGAGTTTGACCTTCCGGGTCAGCCCTGAGGCCTCTGCCTGGCCTAGGTTCTAAGCTGGACCCATCCTTTCTACTCTCTGCCTGGTCTGCATGCGTCAGCATTTCATCAGGAACCGGAACAGCCACAGGGATTTGCCCTACGCTTCCTGCGTCCTTCAAGAGGTGGTCCGACCCTTTCCCTTGACCTTCCCTGGGGGAAGGAGCGTCCTCAGTTTTAGCAACCTCATGAGATATAGCAGCTGGTCTAGAAGGCTCCGGCTTGGTCTCTAAAATGTGCCCTTCAGTGGGCAATGTCTTCCGCTCTTCTGCTGGCACCTCAGGGAAGGGACCAGTCCATTTCAGTGCATCTGGTGCCTCCTTCGTACCATGCTCCTGACTGACTTTCTCTCCTTTATCAGTGAAAGGGCCTTCTATCATCTTGGCCACCAGCTCTGGCTTGGAAGGGCTAGTTTTCTGATCAGAGGCAGGTGGCTGCTCCAAGCCACTGCTCTTCACCGCTTTGTTTAGGTTCTCATTTTCCTTTACTTTGGATTTCTCCAACAGTTTCAAAGCAGGAACTTGTGTTTGATTGCCGCCAGACGGTTCCAGCAATGTGGCACCATCAGATATAGGTCTCTTGTCCACAGGGCTTGTTTCTTGAGTTACATCAACCTTCTGGAAGAGCCGGTTCGTATCAGGCTTGGTCTCCAGGAGGACTGGCTGTTCCGAAGGACTCTTTCCAGACTTCTGCCTTCTCCCATCACTGCTCCTCTTTTTGGATTTGCTTGCTGGCAACAGAGAAGTAGAGTCTGTCGTGATGGGGGTCTCCAAAACTATGGGGCTGGGCTCCTTGCCTTTATCCAGGATGCCAGTTCCCTTGGTTTGGGCAGCTGCCTCCAGCAGAGAAGAACATTCCATCTGTCTGCCTGGGGCTTCCAAGATAAAAGGATAGGCCGAGGAAGGGAAGTCAAGCCATTCACTTGGTTTGGCCGAAGCATCTTTCGGTTCTTCCATCCAGAACGTGGCGGCAAGCGCTGGCGGGTCGGCTGCTTTTGCAGCAAGTCCCGGTGGTTGGTTTGCAGCTATGAGGCCAGCCCCTTCTTTACGACAATCTGTTCTTTCTTGCGGTTGGTCTGGGTGGCCCACTCTGGTCGGGAGGTGGCCCGTGCTGCTTCCCAGTTCTGGAGAAAATGGTGCTCTGAATGAACTTTTTTCTACAGCTTTCCTGCTCCTCCCTTCGCTATTTTTCTTCTTAGTTTTCTCTCCCATCCCTTCCGAGCTAAGAAGCGCTTTACCCGCCTCTGCCCTGGAGAAGCCCACCTCGGGGATCTCGGTGTCCTCTGCACCTGGAGCCCTGCTGGAATCGGCCTTGTCCTCGGAAACAAACACCCGTTGCTCCAAGTGGTTTTCAGCTCTCTTGGTTTTCCCGTCACTCCCCCTTTTTTTAGTCTGGCCGCTCCCCGGCCTGGGAAGAGTCCCGGCTGGCTGTTCCGGAGGAGTGGAGCACATTCCTTTGGTCGTCTCTGTAAAAGGCACTTTGGGATGGCCAACGGCCTCAGCAAGAGCCAAGGGCTTCGCCGGATCCGACTTGGTTTCCAAGGAAAAGGGCGTATCTGCCGATCCAAAGTCAAACTTTGCATTTTTGGCGGGGCTGCCCCCTTTCCTCTCTTCCGGCGGATGCGCCCTGGGGGGACTTGCTCCCAGGAGCTGCTCCGAGGCAGCCAGCCGGCCTTCCTTGACCTCACCAGAAGGACTCTTTTCCTTGGCTGCATCAACAGCCTTGGCTTCCACTTCAGGTTTACCTGCTCCCTCCCCGGCCATTGTAGGCGTTTCGTCCTTGGGCTTCTCTGCTGCCTCCTCCCTTCCAGAAGCGGGGCCCTCTGGAGCCACTTTCTCTGCGGAGGCAACTGCTGCCTTTGCAGCCCAGACGGCCTTGTTCCCCGCGGCCTTGCTCTCCGAGGTCTGCTCACCGGGGCCCAAGTCCTTGGGAGGCAGTCCCTCCGCTTCCCTACTTCCCCCGAAGGGGCTCTTCTCCACTGGACCGGCCCCCAGAGCTAACAAGGTGGGGGCTGCTTGGCCACTCTGCTCGGCAGTGGGCTTCGACCGCTCCTCGGAAGGTTCCTCCCTTTGGCTTCCAGGGAGCAACATTAAGCTGTCATCCCTCATCGCTTCCGCCCTGCTGAGTCCTCCAGCGTTGGTGTGCAGCGCTAGCGGAGAACAGCCTTCAGTCGGCAAGGCCGGCTCTCCTTTTGTTGGAGCAGGAGGGAAGTCCTGGCGGTGCCTTCCGAGCTGAGACGGATCCCTCTCCAGAAATTCCAAGGGCACCCTCGAGGCCTCTTTAGGGCTCTCCGCAGGGGGGAGCTCAGGCTTCTGGGGCCCAGCAGCGCACGGAGCCCTTGGCTTTTCCGGGACGTCCTCCCAAGTCTCAACCGCCCTCAGCTGTTGGCTCCTCTTTTGCTTTGCTTTCTTTTTTTTCTTCTTCAACGCTGCCGAAGCTTCCAGATCCAAACCTTCTCGTAAAACATCTCTCGGAGCCTCCGAAAACTCAAATGGCAGCTGCCCGGATGCTTTCCTGTGGGCAGCTTTGCCACGAGGGGACGTCCCAGCCACGTACCCCAATTCTGCCACAGAAAAAGGCTCTCCTCCTTGGTTGTGGCTCTTCTGGGCTGGGAAACCTACCAAGGGCTCCTCGGGGACGTCTGCCACCATCATTCGGGCAGGCTTCCCTCTGCCCAACCTGCGGTGGTCACTGGATTGGTTAGCTTGTCTTACATGGGCAGGAGGCACACCTGGAACATAGGAAGTTGGCTCAAGTACCAGAGCAATTACTCACAGCCTACCTTGGTGCCAACTCCCACCTTCATGGTGCATTTTTGGGGCCAGGGAGGGCACCGACCCACAGTCTTTACCCTTCATTTCTTTCTGCCAGGACCAAACATATCACACGCCATGGGCCAAGTCTCCCAAAAGGTCCTTATTTCAACAAATGATAGGATAAGCAACAGCCTGCATCTTTGACTAACGTCTAATGCTTTTCTGAGATGGATTTTTGGACCCGTTTTGCCTCTTAAGGGGAAAACGAAGGCTACGTGCACAGGAAAGAGCTCTAGAAAAAGTTACTTCTTTGACACGGAAGAAGGTCACGTCAAGGTGCAGACACACAGAGAAGAGAAGGAAGGCAAAACCTCTACAAGTATTCCAGAGTTGGGGATTCATTTGCTCTGGTTGGTCCTAACATGTTTCTCACACAGTGTGAAAACGAGGAGGCCACTTTTACACAGCCAAGACCCCAGGGGCATCCTCCAGCTCAAGAAGGCAAGGCTTGTACCTTTCTAGGGAAAACAGAGGGCATGCGGCAAATCTCATCATCCCACACAAACGCAGACCGGCCACATTAAGGCGTCTGCAGCAAAAGGGTTGTCGTAACTGCCGGTATCCGAAAGTAAGGAAAAGTGGAGGAAAAGTGTGGGGAAGAATATAACATACCAAACAGAGCCAGAGGGGGGTGGGGGTGGGGAAGCCTGTTCCTGACCGTCTTTAAACTAGCGACATGTGTCATGTTAACCATCCGATGTTAGGTGCCCAGTTTGGGACTGGAGAAAGAGAAGCACGGAGAAAGGAGCCAAAGAAATAAGCCGAGGCAGCGTGAGCTGCAAATCTAGGTTTGTCCCTTCGATGGCAAAGGGCAAATCTGTCGGCAGGACACGACAGTGGCAGAGTGGAGGTGGAATTCAGGCACTCAGGAGAGAGAGGGCTCAGCTCCCTCCCTTCCACATCACCCAACATTTACCTGCAGGTTCCAGGGGGACCTTTTCCTGGGGCAGCTCCACCTTTCCTGGGTCAGGATGAGGCTGTGGCACTTCCTTTGGCTTGGCTACTTCAGCAGGACCAGAAGTTGGCTTTTCAGAGAGGGGCTCTTTAGCGTCCGCCTTGGACACGCCGGGGGATGGCGTTTCTTTTGGTTCTGTTAGCAATAAAAGCAGGCAGAGATCACAAGAGAAGACACGAGACTCCACCGCAGCTGGCCTAGACGGCCACGAGAACCACCTCCAGATCCAGGACAGCGCACAGCTAGCTCCTCAGAAATTGCAGCCTGATTGAACATGGATACATTGGCCAGGATGACCAGGGCACCAAGTGCTGTGCTACACTGTGTGTGTTGACTGCCGGCATGGCCTAAGGAGGCCACCGGGACCACAGGAGTCTTTCCCAGGTGTCGTGCCTGTCAAAACCCTGATTATGTGTCGGAGAAAACCGAGAGATGCCTCCCTTTCAAACACCCCAATCCCCAGCTTGATGGGTAGGGCTTCCTTACTAACCCGCCCCGCCCCCCCCCCATAACACCTTATGAGAGAAACAAACTCAAATAGGGATCACGGTTAGGGAACCGTTTCTTACTTCTGGAGAAGGGAGAGGAAGGTCTTCTCTCGGAGCCTTACCTGCAGGCTTCAGAAGGGGCTCCAGAGGCTTGGCCTGCGGCGATGGCAGCTTGTGTTCCTCTGGTTTCTCGACAGGTACGCTGGGAGGCGGCTTGCTCTTCTCCTCCTGCTTCTCTAGCCCAGGAAGAGGAAGCTCCTTGGGTTGACTGGGGGAGGACGGGGCCTTTGCCCCTTCTCCAGAGGAGACTTTGCCCTCTTCCGTCTTCTTCTCTGGCTGTGGGGGCAGAGCTTGGGGTTTTTCTGCTTTCTGGGTAGCCGAAGGTTCACCCGCTGCCTCCTGTGTCCGTCGGGCGGGAGAAACCTGGATCTCCTCCGTCTTTTCTGGGTGCTGTTCAGGAGAAGCTTTGGGTTCTTCTGCTTTTGGGCTGGGGGGTTTAGACTCCTTTCTCTCTTCATGAAGAGCAAGGGAGGGCTTGCTCTCTTCAGCTTTCTGGCCAGGAGGCTTGGCTCCTGTCGCTTCCTCCTCTGTCTGCTTGCTAGGGAAAAGCTTGCCGTCTTCCCCCTTCTGCCCGGACGGAGTCTTGTTTGCCTCCTCTGGGCTGGGAGACTTGCTGCTTTCTTCCTTCTCTTTGGGCTGGGTGGCAGAAGGCTTGCTCTCCACTGACTTCTCCAGCACAGGAGAAACGCCTGCAGGGGCGACGGCGTCCGGGGCCTTCCCTTTTGGTTCCTTTGTCCCAGCGGTTTCTGGAGAGGCTGTTCCAAGGAAAAAGAAGAAGAAGGAGTTGCATTTTCCCATCTGCCATAAGCTCAGACACAGTTCACATGGTTACCTACAATTTCTCTCTCCCTGGTTTTGGAGAGATCAAGGCTCAGTGACATGCCATGGATCCCACCCTCACCAGGCGGCATAGCCGGGAATCACAGAGATTAAGAAGAAGAATTGTCTCTTCCAGAAAGGATGGCGGTATTGATCCCGAAGCCTCAAGCTTTTGCCACTGTTGTCTTCTAAGACTTACACAAGCCGCACAATTGTTTAAGAGGCATCCGCATTTGCCCCCAGAAGAAACGAGCCTCTCCAGGACTACCCCGCGCGTGGCTTTCTATCATGTTGGAATCTTCAAACTCTCCAGGGCTGGCTTTCCTTTTTTACGGGCAGGAATGTGGCACCCTTGTTATGACTTTGGATGCTCTTTAGCCACAGCCACTGGAAAACAAGGGAACAGGAGAACCTGGCAAGAGGGGAGGGCGTCACAGGAGAAGAGCCAGCAGTGAGGTTGAAGGAAGGAGTCTAAGGAGGAGACTACCTCTCCCCACAGAGCTGTTTGATACCCTGGATTAGGGTGGATAAAAATCAGTGATTTTTTTTTAAAAAAATCAAATTGGCAAAAAAAATCTGATTTTTAAAAAATTTAAATCGTGATTTAAATCATTTTGATTTAAGTCAAAGGCACCCTGCTCTGGACTATTTTACAGCAGGGACTTCAGGAGTGTTTCTCGGGGGTGGGGGAGAGGGTGAGTAATCCACTCGCTTTTCACACATGGACAATGCCCCCCTGCCAAAAAAAAAGAGGTCAAGATTGAGAGCAGCGTCACCTGCTGGTGGTTCTTTCGGAGGAAGGGGTCGGTGGTCAAACGAAGGCTCGAACCCCATCAGCTCTTCCACTGCAGCGAAAGGACCTGGACTCGTGACAGGAAGAGCTGCTAGGGAAACAGAGAGAACCAGGAGATTCAGTGGCTGAAACAGAGAGTCTTAAGGCACGGCTAGAGGTGGCCCACGGAATCCGTGGGGACTGGGTGAGTCAGCGGCTCCACGTGGGCCACTTATTTATGGCGGGCTAGCTGCCACTCAAATCCTGCCAAGCTCAGCCCATCTGGCTTCATTTCCCCACCATGACTCCGGAGGTTCGAAATAGAGTCAACGGTCAAGAGACGAGATGGGCCGTGTCTTCGTTCTGCTCCTCAAGGAGGGCCACACTCGCAAGCTGCCTTTTTTTTGGCCCTCGGTTCTATGGGGTTCACTTTGTGTAAAACACACAACCGATGGGGCACCAGATAGCTGAAATAGTGTCTCCTTCCATAATAGACCCGCCTGGAGTCCAGGATCTTCAACACAGACCAAATGACACACTCCACCACTCCAAAAGCTTAGGCCAGCGGTTCCCAACCTTGGGAATGTTCTTGGACAACAACTCCCAGAAATCCTGGCTGGCACAGCGAGTGATGAACCACTAGCTTAGGATGACGGAGACAAGAGCATAGCCTCTTATCATGGAAGTCCCTTCTATGGGAATTTAGGATGGCTCCATTTTTGAGGATTACCCAACAGGCAACAAAAACGGTATGGTTCTCAAAGGGCATTTGACTTGTAGGATCTCTCTCTCTCTCTCTCTCTCTCTCTATCTATCTATCTATCTATCTATCTATCTAAATGGTATTTGGATGGTGGACAAAATCCTACTGGGATTTTATGCCAGTTTCGCACAGATGGCATTTCCCTAAAGTTCGTTTGTATCACCCTGGACCCTATCTGTTGCACAAACTCAGTGTGCCGTGGGCAACATCTATGCTCTTTGAGGACATCTGCCTCCAAAATTTAAGCTGTTGCTTGTAGGCAGAACTAACAGGATTTTGGCCAAAGTTCTGGATCCATTTTCAAGTATTTAAATTTTGCTTTTCTAAGTGTTAAAAAGCTGTTTTTGAATTTTTTTGAGTTGTTCTGGTGTTCCCAATCTGTTCTTGACTATTTTAATCTATTGAAAAAAAGCAAATCCGCCCTCCTGGAAGCTCTGATGGGCAGAAAGCTGACAAATAAACGGTTGGAGTAAATAAATAAAAAGGAATAGATCAGTCCAAGCCTTGAACCCCACACCCACTGGGCAAGCGCAAAGAGGCAATCGAGAACTAACATCGAGAGCCCGGTTCCTCAAGCAGCCGCCTCTCACCTGCTGGGGCAGATGGCTTTGTTTCAGATGGCTTTGCCTGTCCAGTGACATCCACCAGCCCCAGGCCAGGACTTCCCGGCGAATGCTTCTCTGCCACACCGGGGATCTTGACGGGCACTAGGAAAAAGGCAAACAGGTCACACGGAAGACGCGCAGGCCCACCGACCTGTCTGAGCGTCTCTGGCTAGGTACCTCTGTGCTACAGGCACCCACAGGGAGTGGTCTAAAGAGAAAGGAGAACTGGAGAAAACTGGAGGGAGAAAGCCCGTTTATGATCTTCCTGTTAAGATACTCAGGTGAGCACGTCTCACTCTTACAGTCAAAAGGGCCTCTTCTCCGGCCCTTTGTTCTTCCAAATGAAGAGGCCCTGAACAGGGGAAGGGAGGGGCACCCGGTGGGATGATGCCTTGAGTATCTCTCCAGTTTTAGGTGGGCTGCCAGAAGACACGGAAGGAAGATAAGGGTTTGGAAGAGGGTGGGAATAAGATATCCGCTCAAGTGAGAAGTGAGGAACTCGGGGGGGGGGAGATGTTTTCTTGCCTTCCCCCCCCTCCAGCTGGGTCACTTGTCCCTTTGCTTGCCCCATGTGCAGAATGCTCACTGACGCCTTTGGGGATCAACAGCTGCCGTTGCCTTCAGGGGAGAGAACCCAAGCCCCCCCAACGGATGGACTGATGGATCAACTGATTTAATAACTGCTCTGGAAACCCTAAGAGTCCTGGATAGAGATGGGGGAGTTCGTATTCATATATGAATACTCCTACCTCTAGTCCTGGATTTTGAATTCTGCAGCCACATCTCTGAAAACATGAGGACTTAATTGGGAAATTAAATCTGGGGCCACACTGTGCCCAAGGGTACCTCCCCATGGGCTCAAAGGCAATGCTCCAACCACAACCACCAGAGGAGAAGAATTACTGCCTGTGGGGCCTGGAAATACATCTTTCATGGACTACAACTCTCATAATCCCCCTACTAATGGGGAGGTGCTGAGAGTTTGAACAAGTCTCTGTCTTCAGCTCCCTGGGAGCTGTAGGTTCTGCTGCACCCTCATCCGTGGGCCCCCAAAGGCTGGTCTGGAGAAAGAGGCTCCAGGAAGATGCTCTGGGGGAAAGCCTGACTTAACCGTGCCCTACTTCCAGAGCACAAAAGCAGACCTTCTGCACGCTTCCTTTTTCTTTACCTGGAGACTCAAAGAAAGGTGCGCCTTGTCCCTCCACTAAGTGCTGAGCTCCCAACCAGAAATCTTCAGGAGGTCCCATCTCTCTTGCAAGCGCTACAGGAGACAGTTAGCAAAGACAGAGACCCTTAGGGAACGCCTTCCAATGGCAGCTTTGCAAAAAAATAAAAAATAAGCCAGATCGAACTGGAACATGCGAGGGGCTATCAGTGGGGGGCCCCCATTTTTAACAGCTGCAGATGACCCAAGATTCCTCTGATTCACATGGATTCCATGTGGAACACACAGGCCAGCCACATACGAGCCAGGATGAGGCATGCCAGAGGAAGGGACTGCTAAGGATCCGGACGCCGTCTTTCTCCCCACTCACCAAGCCACTTTCCCTCTCTAGAGAGGAGGAGCTCCTTCTCCTCTGATGGCTATTAACCCAGGCGTGCTGCCCCTCCTGCCAACTCCTTGACTTGAAGTGGCAGGCGTGTTCCTGCTTTGTTTCGTACCCACACCCATTCTGGTCTTCAAGAAGCA